CCTCACCTTCATGATGGCCCAGAGGCTGAAGTGCACACGATACTCTGACTGCCTCATGCCGCCATTCATGTATGCATGCACGGATGTATGAATGTGTGTGCAGTATATGTATACAAGAAGAGACGCAGCCTCACCTTCATGATGGCCCAGAGGCTGAAGTGCACACGATACTCTGACTGCCTCATGCCGCCATTCATGTATGCATGCACGGATGTATGAATGTGTGTGCAGTATATGTATACAAGAAGAGACGCAGCCTCACCTTCATGATGGCCCAGAGGCTGAAGTGCACACGATACTCTGACTGCCTCATGCCGCCATTCATGTATGCATGCACGGATGTATGAATGTGTGTGCAGTATATGTATACAAGAAGAGACGCAGCCTCACCTTCATGATGGCCCAGAGGCTGAAGTGCACACGATACTCTGACTGCCTCATGCCGCCATTCATGTATGCATGCACGGATGTATGAATGTGTGTGCAGTATATGTATACAAGAAGAGACGCAGCCTCACCTTCATGATGGCCCAGAGGCTGAAGTGCACACGATACTCTGACTGCCTCATGCCGCCATTCATGTATGCATGCACGGATGTATGAATGTGTGTGCAGTATATGTATACAAGAAGAGACGCAGCCTCACCTTCATGATGGCCCAGAGGCTGAAGTGCACACGATACTCTGACTGCCTCATGCCGCCATTCATGTATGCATGCACGGATGTATGAATGTGTGTGCAGTATATGTATACAAGAAGAGACGCAGCCTCACCTTCATGATGGCCCAGAGGCTGAAGTGCACACGATACTCTGACTGCCTCATGCCGCCATTCATGTATGCATGCACGGATGTATGAATGTGTGTGCAGTATATGTATACAAGAAGAGACGCAGCCTCACCTTCATGATGGCCCAGAGGCTGAAGTGCACACGATACTCTGACTGCCTCATGCCGCCATTCATGTATGCATGCACGGATGTATGAATGTGTGTGCAGTATATGTATACAAGAAGAGACGCAGCCTCACCTTCATGATGGCCCAGAGGCTGAAGTGCACACGATACTCTGACTGCCTCATGCCGCCATTCATGTATGCATGCACGGATGTATGAATGTGTGTGCAGTATATGTATACAAGAAGAGACGCAGCCTCACCTTCATGATGGCCCAGAGGCTGAAGTGCACACGATACTCTGACTGCCTCATGCCGCCATTCATGTATGCATGCACGGATGTATGAATGTGTGTGCAGTATATGTATACAAGAAGAGACGCAGCCTCACCTTCATGATGGCCCAGAGGCTGAAGTGCACACGATACTCTGACTGCCTCATGCCGCCATTCATGTATGCATGCACGGATGTATGAATGTGTGTGCAGTATATGTATACAAGAAGAGACGCAGCCTCACCTTCATGATGGCCCAGAGGCTGAAGTGCACACGATACTCTGACTGCCTCATGCCGCCATTCATGTATGCATGCACGGATGTATGAATGTGTGTGCAGTATATGTATACAAGAAGAGACGCAGCCTCACCTTCATGATGGCCCAGAGGCTGAAGTGCACACGATACTCTGACTGCCTCATGCCGCCATTCATGTATGCATGCACGGATGTATGAATGTGTGTGCAGTGTATGTATACAAGAAGAGACGCAGCCTCACCTTCATGATGGCCCAGAGGCTGAAGTGCACACGATACTCTGACTGCCTCATGCCGCCATTCATGTATGCATGCACGGATGTATGAATGTGTGTGCAGTATATGTATACAAGAAGAGACGCAGCCTCACCTTCATGATGGCCCAGAGGCTGAAGTGCACACGATACTCTGACTGCCTCATGCCGCCATTCATGTATGCATGCACGGATGTATGAATGTGTGTGCAGTATATGTATACAAGAAGAGACGCAGCCTCACCTTCATGATGGCCCAGAGGCTGAAGTGCACACGATACTCTGACTGCCTCATGCCGCCATTCATGTATGCATGCACGGATGTATGAATGTGTGTGCAGTATATGTATACAAGAAGAGACGCAGCCTCACCTTCATGATGGCCCAGAGGCTGAAGTGCACACGATACTCTGACTGCCTCATGCCGCCATTCATGTATGCATGCACGGATGTATGAATGTGTGTGCAGTATATGTATACAAGAAGAGACGCAGCCGCACCTTCATGATGGCCCAGAGGCTGAAGTGCACACGATACTCTGACTGCCTCATGCCGCCATTCATGTATGCATGCACGGATGTATGAATGTGTGTGCAGTATATGTATACAAGAAGAGACGCAGCCTCACCTTCATGATGGCCCAGAGGCTGAAGTGCACACGATACTCTGACTGCCTCATGCCGCCATTCATGTATGCATGCACGGATGTATGAATGTGTGTGCAGTATATGTATACAAGAAGAGACGCAGCCGCACCTTCATGATGGCCCAGAGGCTGAAGTGCACACGATACTCTGACTGCCTCATGCCGCCATTCATGTATGCATGCACGGATGTATGAATGTGTGTGCAGTATATGTATACAAGAAGAGACGCAGCCTCACCTTCATGATGGCCCAGAGGCTGAAGTGCACACGATACTCTGACTGCCTCATGCCGCCATTCATGTATGCATGCACGGATGTATGAATGTGTGTGCAGTATATGTATACAAGAAGAGACGCAGCCTCACCTTCATGATGGCCCAGAGGCTGAAGTGCACACGATACTCTGACTGCCTCATGCCGCCATTCATGTATGCATGCACGGATGTATGAATGTGTGTGCAGTATATGTATACAAGAAGAGACGCAGCCTCACCTTCATGATGGCCCAGAGGCTGAAGTGCACACGATACTCTGACTGCCTCATGCCGCCATTCATGTATGCATGCACGGATGTATGAATGTGTGTGCAGTATATGTATACAAGAAGAGACGCAGCCTCACCTTCATGATGGCCCAGAGGCTGAAGTGCACACGATACTCTGACTGCCTCATGCCGCCATTCATGTATGCATGCACGGATGTATGAATGTGTGTGCAGTATATGTATACAAGAAGAGACGCAGCCTCACCTTCATGATGGCCCAGAGGCTGAAGTGCACACGATACTCTGACTGCCTCATGCCGCCATTCATGTATGCATGCACGGATGTATGAATGTGTGTGCAGTATATGTATACAAGAAGAGACGCAGCCTCACCTTCATGATGGCCCAGAGGCTGAAGTGCACACGATACTCTGACTGCCTCATGCCGCCATTCATGTATGCATGCACGGATGTATGAATGTGTGTGCAGTATATGTATACAAGAAGAGACGCAGCCTCACCTTCATGATGGCCCAGAGGCTGAAGTGCACACGATACTCTGACTGCCTCATGCCGCCATTCATGTATGCATGCACGGATGTATGAATGTGTGTGCAGTATATGTATACAAGAAGAGACGCAGCCTCACCTTCATGATGGCCCAGAGGCTGAAGTGCACACGATACTCTGACTGCCTCATGCCGCCATTCATGTATGCATGCACGGATGTATGAATGTGTGTGCAGTATATGTATACAAGAAGAGACGCAGCCGCACCTTCATGATGGCCCAGAGGCTGAAGTGCACACGATACTCTGACTGCCTCATGCCGCCATTCATGTATGCATGCACGGATGTATGAATGTGTGTGCAGTATATGTATACAAGAAGAGACGCAGCCTCACCTTCATGATGGCCCAGAGGCTGAAGTGCACACGATACTCTGACTGCCTCATGCCGCCATTCATGTATGCATGCACGGATGTATGAATGTGTGTGCAGTATATGTATACAAGAAGAGACGCAGCCTCACCTTCATGATGGCCCAGAGGCTGAAGTGCACACGATACTCTGACTGCCTCATGCCGCCATTCATGTATGCATGCACGGATGTATGAATGTGTGTGCAGTATATGTATACAAGAAGAGACGCAGCCTCACCTTCATGATGGCCCAGAGGCTGAAGTGCACACGATACTCTGACTGCCTCATGCCGCCATTCATGTATGCATGCACGGATGTATGAATGTGTGTGCAGTATATGTATACAAGAAGAGACGCAGCCGCACCTTCATGATGGCCCAGAGGCTGAAGTGCACACGATACTCTGACTGCCTCATGCCGCCATTCATGTATGCATGCACGGATGTATGAATGTGTGTGCAGTATATGTATACAAGAAGAGACGCAGCCGCACCTTCATGATGGCCCAGAGGCTGAAGTGCACACGATACTCTGACTGCCTCATGCCGCCATTCATGTATGCATGCACGGATGTATGAATGTGTGTGCAGTATATGTATACAAGAAGAGACGCAGCCTCACCTTCATGATGGCCCAGAGGCTGAAGTGCACACGATACTCTGACTGCCTCATGCCGCCATTCATGTATGCATGCACGGATGTATGAATGTGTGTGCAGTATATGTATACAAGAAGAGACGCAGCCTCACCTTCATGATGGCCCAGAGGCTGAAGTGCACACGATACTCTGACTGCCTCATGCCGCCATTCATGTATGCATGCACGGATGTATGAATGTGTGTGCAGTATATGTATACAAGAAGAGACGCAGCCTCACCTTCATGATGGCCCAGAGGCTGAAGTGCACACGATACTCTGACTGCCTCATGCCGCCATTCATGTATGCATGCACGGATGTATGAATGTGTGTGCAGTATATGTATACAAGAAGAGACGCAGCCTCACCTTCATGATGGCCCAGAGGCTGAAGTGCACACGATACTCTGACTGCCTCATGCCGCCATTCATGTATGCATGCACGGATGTATGAATGTGTGTGCAGTATATGTATACAAGAAGAGACGCAGCCTCACCTTCATGATGGCCCAGAGGCTGAAGTGCACACGATACTCTGACTGCCTCATGCCGCCATTCATGTATGCATGCACGGATGTATGAATGTGTGTGCAGTATATGTATACAAGAAGAGACGCAGCCTCACCTTCATGATGGCCCAGAGGCTGAAGTGCACACGATACTCTGACTGCCTCATGCCGCCATTCATGTATGCATGCACGGATGTATGAATGTGTGTGCAGTATATGTATACAAGAAGAGACGCAGCCTCACCTTCATGATGGCCCAGAGGCTGAAGTGCACACGATACTCTGACTGCCTCATGCCGCCATTCATGTATGCATGCACGGATGTATGAATGTGTGTGCAGTATATGTATACAAGAAGAGACGCAGCCGCACCTTCATGATGGCCCAGAGGCTGAAGTGCACACGATACTCTGACTGCCTCATGCCGCCATTCCCCACCTGCAGCATGTCCGGGTCTAATGGGGGGGGGTTGAAGGGTCAGGAGTGGGTGGAGGGCGGGGAGAGGAGGGGGAGCAAAAGGGGGGTGGAGCCAGGAGAAAAATACTTGTGTGACGCCATTTCACGCATGTATGCAAGTAGGAGAACAGGCTGAGAGACCAATCAGGGGAGATTTTGGAGTTGTAATGGGGTCCGACGAGCATGTTCCCTGTTAGTATGCATGGACGTATTTTCCATGTATGCATGGGTTGACGTAAGAGAAAATCGCTGTTAGATGTTCTTGCGAGCTTGACGCTTCCAAACTCCTACATTATATGGCACGTCCCTTTCTTTGAGCACTTTAGCGCCTTTGGCTCTTGAAAGGTGTCGGGCATTCCTCCCTTTGACTGAGCTTTCCACTGGCACTCACCGTTCGAGGTGACTTTTGAGTCGACTCAAAAGTCACCTCTTGAAAGGTGTGAGGCATTCCTCCCTTTGACTGAGCTTTCCACTGGCACTCACCGTTCCACCCGCCTGGCTTGGCGTATTTGGCCCACTTGTTGTTCTTGTCTGCAATGCGCATCATGCTGCATGTGCCACGAGCGTGCATACAGGGAGGAAGGGAGGGATGGGAGGGAGGTTGGGAGGGAGGGAGGTTACATGAAACACGGATAGAATTTTGGAGGCAGTACAAGTGCATAAATACGAAAATGAAGCCATCTTGTCCTCCCTCACTTCCCCTGTCGTTTCCCAGTATCTGCTCCCATGTCAATACTATTCCCTCTCGCTCTCCCCTCCCTGCCATTCCCTTCTCCATCCCCTCACCAGTGTTCTCTGTTCTTATTCCTCTTCTATCCTGCTCCACACACTTTTCTCCTCATACTTCACGAGCACTTCTCCTCACGAGCACTTCTCCTCACGAGCACTTCTCCTCACGAGCACTTCTCCTCACGAGCACTTCTCCTCACGAGCACTTCTCCTCACGAGCACTTCTCCTCACGAGCACTTCTCCTCACGAGCACTTCTCCTCACGAGCACTTCTCCTCCCTGCATCCACGTGTCACTTCTCACCTCATGTCCCTGCCCGTCACACCCTATCCACGTGTCTCCCCTCACCTCCGCCACGAGTCCCCAATGTCAACCGTGGTTCGCCAGGAGTCTGCCACGTCGTACGCCCACAGGGAAGGGTCGTCCTGCCCCCTGCATCTCGGAATCCACGTGGAAAGATGGGCAGGCAACACGTGGAGTTACAAGGCAAGCCACACACACACGGCCCTTGTGGGTGGGTAAAGGCATGGGCAGCCCTTGTAGCTGTGAGCATGCATATCCAGAACAGAAGCCTGGTTTTCGAGAATTTTAAATAACACAAGGCAAGCCACACAGAGACGGCCCTTGTGGGTGGGTAAAGGCTTGTGAGTGGGTGGGTAGTCACCGTAGCTGTGGGCATGCATGTCCAACACATCAGCCTGCCTGCCTGCATGCATGTATGCATGCACCACTCGCACAGGCAGAGGACTAAGTGTGGTTGCCTCGGCTCACCATTCGCACATGGAGAAAAATATGTCCCTCCCAGTGGCCTCCAACGCATTGCGCATGGTTGTGTAGCTGATGGGGGGGTCGATTGGCAGGCATCAAGCAGCAGGGGATGAGGTAGGGGGATTTGAGGGGCGGAGAGGGAGAGAAGAAGATGTCTCTCCCAGTGGCCTCCAGTGCATTGCGCATGGTTGTGTAGCTGATGGGGGGGTCGATTGACAGGCATGAACCAGCAGAGGATGAGGTAAGGGAATGAGGGGAACGTGGGGAATGGAGCTGAGTCAAAATAGCTGAGAAATGAGAACAGTACGGACGAAATTGAACGTCGCAACACAAGAAGACTACAAGTCGAGCAACAGTAACTCTAACGTTAGAGGAGAACAGGAGCAAGGCGGACAGGACACACACCGAATTTTGTTTGGAGTGCCATCATTGAAGCAGTTATCGTATTTGAGATAGTCCACCTCCTGACATCGCATGGGGCAGCGACGAGGCACAGCATGCACGTAAAGGTGAGGTGAGAATTCAGAACCAGGAACGATACTTGATCCATCCAGCAACTGTAGCAACCTGATCCAGCCCCCTGCCTCACCCAAGTCCATGCCTCACCAAACCTCGTGTTTCACCCAACCCAGTGCCTCACCCAACCTCGTGCCTCACCCAACCTCGTGCCTCACCCAACCTCGTGCCTCACCCAACCTCGTGCCTCACCCAGTCTTGTGCCTTACCGTACCTCGTGCCTCACCCAACCCCCTGCCTCACTCAACCAGCGCCTCATCCCACCCTCATGCCTCACCCATTCAGCGAAGGTGAGGGCGTCGATCGCCTCATGCCCGAGTGACCCTGGCTTGCCTTCACACGTGAGCCTCCTGTTGGGAGGGGGTCGGAGGGAGTGGAGAGGGAAAAGTAGGGCACCGTCACATGGATATGAGAGTAGCCTTTGTAGACGTGTCCTGCCCCCCCCCTTTCCCTCTCCCTCCATCCTCCCCATGTCTCCAGCCCCCATGTCACCAGCTCCATCCACTCCCCTCTCACCCGGAGTCGGAGTAGATGCCCAGCGCCTCTTGCTTGATGTGCACATACCGTAGTCTGCACAACTGGCCCCCACACCCCTTTTCCATCACCAGCAGTGCTCAGCTCAGCTCTGCGCCCTCCCCCTCACCCGGAGTCGGAGTAGATTCCCAGCTTGAGCCCCTTGCTGTGCACATAGATATCAGAAGCCGTGCTTTACCCTCCCCGAAACCCCCTCAAACGTTACCAGCCCTTCTCAGCTATGCATGGTCACTGGCTCACCCAGAGTCGGAGTAGATACCCAGCTTGAGCCCCTTGCTGTGCACATAGTCCGCAATTGCCTTGATGCCCGACGGGAAGAAGCGAGGAGAGGGCGCCAGGCGACCCTGAACGCGCGAATAGCAAGTGGCAGAGGAACGCGAGACTGATTGATTCAGAGCAATGCAATGGCATGCGCTTGCCGATTGTATGAGGCATTTGACAGAAAAAAAACACAATCGGTTAAATAACACAGCATCTGGCGTGCTGCTGCATGATGCCAGGTGGCTTTTGAGTGTGCTCAATAGTTCGCTCAAAAGCTTGCTGGGATGCAGAATGGTAACCTAGTTGACAACATGACGCTGCGAGGTGCTAGCACTCAGGACAATGATGCCTCGGCTGGTGAATGCTTCTGTGTGTGTTCAATGTATGTGCAGTAAAGAAACTCGTTATTACAGGGGTCTGATTTAATCACCCACCTCTGAATCACGGGAGTCAGCCTGCCAGCAATCATCTGCAAATTCAGGAGAGGATCAGGAACAGCCACAAGAGATGACAACTTATGTATGAAGTGTCGAAACAGGAGGAAGAAAAGGTGGAAACGTTTCAGGTATAAGGGGCATCCACTCACGTAAAACGCGGCTGAAGCAGCATGTACAGCCCAAGTCAACTGGCTTCAGATTCACAGATTCAACAAAAGCAGGATGGACGAGGGACGATGTGTTTTCACCTATATTGACATAGTCGTATCCAAGGGCTGCAAGCCCAGATGACACGAGCTTGTCCGCTGCACGAGACAACAGCATCAGAATGGGGCGAGAGGGCTGGTCAGATGTGCTGAAAATAAAGGATGGAATGGGAGCTTCCATCAGCTGGAGCTGGAAATTACGCAGTACGGAAGGTGAAGAGGTTGAAGTTGTTGCAACAAGTAGCTTTTGTGGGCAACCATGAAGGACACCCTGGAAAAGCTTTTAGAAGGTCAAGAGTTTGAGTTGAGGGACTCAAAAAAGAGGGTTTCAAAAACAGAAATAGCATGGTAAGGGTCCAAGAATTCAAACACAGAACTAACATGGCGAGAGCGGAGGAATTCAAACACAGAATTAACATGGTGAGGCCTTCACCTGCAGCTTTCACAATGTCTTCATTAACATTGCACTGGAAGTGGTTCCAGCTGTTCCATCTGCCACATCAAGACACACGGAGATGACATCTTAGTACCAGAAAGATCTTAGTTCCATCTGTCGCATCATCCCACACGAACATTGCAGCACCATTGTACAACAACAGATGTAACAGCCTAGGTAAGCTCATCTTATCTACGTTTCGATGTTCCGATGAAACAGATAAGATGAGTTTACCTAGGCTGGACGACAAAAGCTACTGTTCCGATGACTCAGAAACAGATTCTATCTCATGATATACCACGTGTGTAATCAGTTTCGTGAGCGTGACGAAAGGTACTTGTAGTTATTCGGAGCTTATATGGTTACCCGAGTGGCGGAGTTCGCGAGAACTTTCGATCTCGATGAACGATTCCAGAAAACTCGCGCTTCTCCTTCCGACCAAGACTCAGAATGGTCGAAACGGATGCCTCTTTGCTAATAGCCGCGGCTTGATGGAAGATTATAGCAAGACAGAAGCACATGGATAAGAACGAGGTCTCCATCGTTCGGTCGGACATTGCGCTGACACGAGTAGCTGAAATGCGTGTCGAAGCAAACAAGGAGCAGGAAATCGTTTTTTAACTCCAAATAATGCCTGTACGGTGGTGTATGATTAGTAATTGAAGCGAATGAGGAAGCTGGGAACCGCTACGCGTCGCATTCAGTCACTAGCCTCTCCCGTAGGCGTTCAAGATCCCTCAAACTTCAAAGTTTGTGCAGATTGCTGAGCTTCTCTGGTTTTGAAATCTCAATGTTGGGCATTCCTGATATGGTGGCTGACTCCTAGCTGACGCACACACAGTGAACTGGCTGTTGGGTGGTCAAGCGTGGCTGCTTGCTCAGCTGTCTGTTGTTCAACTTCCCCCTGACTGCATTTTCTCGTGGACTTTCAGACGACATGGGGGGGCTGGAATGGAAGTCCCTTGGGGGAGAATGATCCCTTGGTTCGTTTTGATTCCCTTGAAAAAACCAAGCCAGATTTTCAAGGCCGATACGACGCCGTCGATCAGCTGAAATCGACGGATATCAGAGGTTGTGCACGGTGGGGATGGAGGGTATGAGGGGTGTATGGACTGATCAATTGACGGAAGGTTGTAGGTCGTATTTCAGGAACGCAGATTTGGCACGGGAACAATGTACACACCTTGTTTAGAAAGCACCGCCGAACCAGAAGCCGTTCTGTCGAGTACAGTCGGTGCAATCTGCAGCTGAAACAATAGCTGAGCGATTTCTTCAAATACGGGTTCATCCTCCTCGAACAAGAATCCTGTCCCAGCCGTAGATGAGCTGTGAAACCCGTTCTGTGACATAAACCATTTCAACAAGAACTGTCCCGAAAGGAAACGTGAACATTATAACGATATGATACACGCACCACCTACAATGAAATATCCACCACACAGATAATTGCGGTAACAGCCCAACTTCAGCTGGGTTACGCATCTGGTCGGCCCCAGATAACACGAATTGTCGGAAAATATAAGTTCATATTTTCTATATGTAACAGTCTGTAGGATTGGTTTCTAGTTGGTGGTGCACCATTCTTGCTTTTGCTTCCCTATTTGTACTGTTTGCTCTATAGTGAACAACCTTTTTTGTTGGCTCACACCTCTCGCGACTCCCCTTCCCAAGTTCCTAACCTACTCTCTAAGCTATGGAGGTTCCTAAGGCATAGCTCTGATTCTGACATGGTATCGAGAGCCTGGTTCGCCTAGGCCTATTTTATTTTCACTCATGCAGCCCCGCGTCGCGCCCTACGTCGCGCTGCCCGTCACGCTGCTGCCCGTGACGGCGAGCTGCGCGATGGCGCTAGCTGCGGCCTCAGTACGGCCGCGTCACGCCCCGCTGGTCGCGCTAATTACGGCCCCGTTCGGTGCGCCTCTGCTGCTGATCCGAAGCGCCCACCAGCCCGCCTTCGAGCTCGCCCGCGCGTTTGCCAGCGGCCCGCCCGTGCGCCAGCGCGTCGCTACAGCGGCCGCCATTACGCCAGCGCACTACACCAGTGCGAGCGCCAGCACGAGCGCCAGCGCCAGCGTGTGCGCCAGCGCGTGCGCCATTGCGCAGCCAGCCAGCGCACGCCAGCGCGACCAGCAGCAGCGCCCACCCCACGCCAAAGCGGGAGCAGCAGCAGCAGCAGCAGCGTGTGTCGCCGCCCTCCCTTCCGCGACTTCCGACGTGGGAGGGGGGTTGGAGATGAGGTGGTGGCGGGAGTACACCAGAAGGAACCAGCCGCCGCCCTCCTCTCTCCTCTCTCTCCCTCCAGCACCTATCGCTGTGGGGGGAGGGGGGGAGTGTGAGGGGGTGGCGAGAGAGATTCTGCCGAGCCAGCAGCCACCCCTCCTCCCCTCTCGCTCACTGCCGCGCGTGCCATTGTGGGGGGGAGAGTGAGGGGGCGGCGGAAGTCAGCCGGTCATCTGCTGCTGTCGCCCGATGCTGTCGTGGCACCTCCAGCTGCCGCCCCTGCCGCCACCTGCCTTTACTGCCTTTGCTTCTGCTGCCTGCTGCTAGGGGCCTGCAGGTGCTGCCGTCGAGCCGCTGCTGTCCTGCTGCACGTTGCAGCCACAGAGCCTGCTCTTCAGGCGACCTGCCGCCCCTACACCTGCTTTTGTTTCTGCCTTGGTGGAGGGTTTGGTTCACCTGGATCTACCATCACTGCTCTGGTTGCCACTGCACTTGCCTGTTGCTGTAATTTCCGCTGTGCAATCATGGTGTACCTCTTCAGGGGGCGCTAACTGCATACTCCTCTCCTACAGCCAGTTATGGGGGCGTGTCGGAAAATATAAGTTTATATTTTCTATATGTAACAGTCTGTAGGATTGGTTACTGTAGTTATAGCGTTTCTAGTTGGTGGTGCACCATTCTTGCTTTTGCTTCCCTATTTGTACTGTTTGCTCTATAGTGAACAACCTTTTTTGTTGGCTCACACCTCTCGCTACTCCCCTTCCCAAGTTCCTAAGCTACTCTCTAAGCTATGGAGGTTCCTAAGGCATAGCTCTGATTCTGACACGAATAAGGATTATATTACGGGCCAGATTACACTAATTAGGCATCTGGTACAGGCCAGAGTACAAACAGTCACAAGTCATGGCTCACAACACGAGCACTCAGCTCTCCAGGGACATGAAAGTGAATTTCTGCACCACAGAAGAAGCAACACGGGGAGCAGAGCAGGTACGTGAGAAGAAATGTCGTGCTGGTTGTGTGTGAATTAGTAAGTGCCTGCATGTATGTGTGCATGTATTTACATACACACACGTCATTTGGAAGGGGGGGGAAGGGGGACAGCGAAGGAGAGTGAAACAACGAGGGTGGGAAAGTGTGAGAACTGTGCACAAAAAAGAGCACGGTTGAGATTGTGTGTGCGAGTGTGCGTGTGCGTGCATGCTCGAGTGAGGACAGGTACGACTTTGAAACGAAGGGAGAAGTTGGCGAATGAGAGGCATGAGAACGAGGGGGGAGGCGGATGACAAAGAGACTATGAGAGGTACGCACACTTCCCAGAATCAAAGGATGAATGAGGTGCGGGAGAGAGCGAGAAGATGAAAATGAATGTCTTGCAGCTCAATCCTTCACCTCCCTTAGGTCTCGGACATATTTATGCTGCAAGAAAATGTGTATTTGAACCGCGGCAAGCATACATCTGCTGCACCGGAATCAGCCCAATTGATTTCCCAATTGGTCACATTCTCGTTCCAATCACCACGATTCACCAATGCCACTACTTGCCAAGCCTTAGACAGAGGCCCGGACCAGACCTGTAGGTTGGGCAAGGACACACATTTGTTTCCTGTAAGGTGGAGGCATTTCAAGCGGGTTGTGTAAGAAGTTCACTGATAGTCATCTTTGTCAGTGACCTGGAAAAACGGTACTCTCATGATAGTTATCAAAGCCCATTGCGATGCTTATCCAAAGTATGGTGATGCTTATCCAAGCTATGGTGATGCTTATCCAAGCCATGGTAATGCTTATCAAAGCCATGGTGATGCTTATCTAGGTGACACATCTTCAGGCCAGGGGGACACATATTCAAGCCATGGTGACGCTTATCCAAGCCATGCAATGCAAAAGAGGGTCCTATGATCTCACCTCCACTAGGGAGTAATGGGAGAGTTGCGCCTTCCGTGCCTACACTCCCAGTGAATCTGCACCAATCACAATGCGACACGTGTCAAGTGTATCCATCACAATCTGCTCAAACCACTTGTGCCCCCCTTTCCTCCCTCCTCATCTTCCTCCTCCCCATCCCCCTCCCCCTCCTCCCACCCCAACTCCCCCCCTCCTTCTCCTCCCCTCTACCCCCCTCCCGCTCCCTTCCCTCCTCCCATAAGAAGCACTGACTCGCACCCAATGGAGCGGTAGAGGCGGCGCACAGTGCCGAGCATGAGGAAGAGACCGTAGCAGACACACGCCATTAAGAAAAAGTAGAGAGACGCCTGCATGAATCCGGTCATGTTGGAGCGCGCGTGGTAGTAGTAGACACAGTAGCCGAATATGAAGAGCGCGGGGGAACCCCCACACAGCACCGACCTGATCAAATGGACGGATATAGGGAGGGGGGTGGAAAGGGGGGATGGAAAAGGGAGAGGGAGAGGGGAAGAGGCAGAGGAAAGGGGGTTAGGGGCATGGGGGAAGGGAAAGGGAATGTGTGTGGTGGTAGCAGACACATACCATGCAGGCAAAGTAGAAGGCCGCCTGCATGAAGCCGGTCATGTGGGATTGCGCATGGTAGTTGTAGCAGCAGTAGCCGAATTTGAAGAGCGCAGGGGAACCCTCGCACAGCACCGACCTGAGTGGATGGGAAAGGGGGAGAGGGAGAGGGGAATGGGACAGACATCCAGCCAGCCAGTTCAGTAAGACACTGACAAGACATCCACGCTAGGATGGAGGTCAGATGTTAGAAAACAACGAGGAAGCAATGAGGCGGTGGAAAGGTAGAACAGGTTGAGGTGACTTTGGAGTCGCAGGGTATTCTTGAGAAATCTCAAAAATACCCTCATACGTCACCAGCATACAGACAAGGCAGTCAAAATCCGGAAAGGTTGAAAGGTTGAGAGGTTGAACAATCATACCTCCACCACCACTCGTGGTCCCCTGCTGCAAGCTGATAGTACGTGAGCACAATCGCCATGAGCGTAGTCACAACAACGATGAAATTGATGAACACTATAAAGAGGATGCCGTAGATTGTGTATACCTTATACCCCCACCAGTCCGCGCATACATAATACAGCTCGAAGAAAATTGCGCTGAACGGTAGAAACCCAGCCATGGCCATCTGAGGCACTGCGTGCCGGTACCAGGGCAGCACGGGAACCAGGTGCTGGATCTCCCTTGGGTACTTTGTGGTCCGGCAATGTCGGCAGGGTGCTAGAAACTCTGCAGCGGTGCTTTGTTTGCCGGCAATGGCGTCGGCCACGAGGAGGGGTAAGGTGATTAGTGCCCAGATGAGTGCGAGGGTGAGCATGGTGGTGAAGGGCTTGGCGTTGGTGGCGTTGTAGAGGGT